CTTCCTTTTTTGACAAATTTTTTGGTTGTATTTGTCATATTAACCTATTAATTTGCTTAAAAACCAATTATAAGTATTTTTAATAGAAATTTGCTACTCAATTTTCTTAAAATGAAGTACATTTAATTTCTACTTTTTTGTTTGATTGAGAATGCAATATAAAAATTTGGATAAATACCATAATTTTGGATTGCAAACTCCTTACCACTTATAAAACAGCATCACTTGGATTGTAAAACCAATACATGTGTCGCACCCTGTTTTATTTTTTTCTCCTTTAAAAAAAAAACCCGGACGTGATTAAAGAATAAAATTACACCGAACTTACAATAATCTTCCTTATATTATTTTATTTTACTTACGAGTACATAATCCTCACAAGATCATTTCAAATATTGTTGATACAACATAAAGAGAAATAATAATAGTAGACTCTATCCTTTCAGCCTATTCTCTAGCTTGACTTCATATATCTGAAAAATGTTAAATAGGGATGAGCTCACCAACTCAGTAGGATAACGTTTATCAATGACTATCAAGGTTTTAAAACAATGCATAATATAATTAAACTGCGAATAAATGCGGGAATAGGGCAAAGTAATGAATCAAATAAATAAATAAATTTCAGCACATATTGAATTTTATCAATCCATCAATTTTTTGGTCCACACATGAACCGCCTCCGAAAAAAACTTTGGGGTCTTGCACCCTAGGGAATCCAATGCCCTTTTTGCTTTTCTGGAAACACCAATATCGAAAATTATGTGGTGCCACACAGGCTACCATGACAACCGATATTATTAACCTATGAACCCAAGGACTAGTAGAAATTCCGTGAATCCTCGAAAGGATCAGGCATCTACTAATTCTCTACCCTCGATTATGTGCATTCATAGTAATTTTATCAAAATCACAAAATAAAGTCATATCGTAGTCAGACACCACAACAAATTAAACATTAAATATTAATAAAGAAATAAACATTTATTATGCAACATGGTTTCACGAGATAATTAGGGTCTCGATAAAAATATAATATGTGCATGATAACTATTTATTTATAAAACCCCAGTTTGACCCCATAATTATAACGATATAATTTTATATTATATAATTAAAAATAAATTTGATATGAAACCCCCAAATATGCATGAAATGCATTAATGATAGTAAAAGATAAAAGAAACTCTACTTCATTCTTGACTTCTATTCGATATCGTGTACTATGACAAAACAACCAAAATAATATTTTAGAATAATAATAGGTAATAAGGGCTTAGTTAATCTAAAATAATTTTTGGAATAACTAACGAAAGATAATTATACTTAAATTTGATCAAAAAATATTTAATGAAGATCAACTTTAAGTGACTCGAACATATAAAATTTACTAAATAATAACTAAAAAATCTTACCCAAAATTTTGATCGTAACCCCAAACTCTTAAGTCAACAAAATTTTTGACCCCTTTTCCCTCTTTCCTCTCTTTGTCCCTTCCTTTCTTACTCCATTTCTCTCTTTTTCCTTGCACCGTTCATTGTACTAANAATTTTGATCGTAACCCCAAACTCTTAAGTCAACAAAATTTTTGACCCCTTTTCCCTCTTTCCTCTCTTTGTCCCTTCCTTTCTTACTCCATTTCTCTCTTTTTCCTTGCACCGTTCAATGTACTAAGCTTGGCTATTTATAGCCAAGATTTACTTGGGGACCAAGCATTCTCATGGACACTTGTCCATTGCTTCACCATTTCCTTTTTTATTTGCACNTTGGGGACCAAGCATTCTCATGGACACTTGTCCATTGCTTCACCATTTCCTTTTTTTTTTTTTGCACCATTTTTCTGTTCATGTCCTCTAATCTTTAATATATATATATATATATATATATATCTATTCATTTATTATGTATANTTTTTCTGTTCATGTCCTCTAATCTTTAATATATATATATATATATATATATATATATATATATATATATATCTATTCATTTATTATGTATATATAGACATATTTATTCGTTACGAAACTTGACCTAATTTGTAGTTATTTGACTCGTTTTCACGTGAAGAGTCTATATTTGGGGTCCATTTGTTCATAGAAAATAGATTATTATTTATTTATATTTATATATATTTGAAAACAAATTAAATTTCAATTATATAAGAATCAAAATTGATGACCTAATTAATGTGTTAATAATTTTTGTATATATGGGTCATCACAATCAACCCCCTTTAAAAAGAATTTCGTCTCTGAAATTCGATACTAACCTTGAGAATTAAAAAGATACGGATATCATGTACACATATCTGTTTCCAATTTCGACGTGGCTCCTTCTACACCATGATGTTGCCATAACACTTTTACAAGTGGTATGACCTTGCTACATAATACTTGCTCCTTGGTGTCGAGAATCTGGACAGGTTGCTCTTCGTATGTTCAATTTTCTTGAATTCGGACATCCTTCCAATCGATGACGTGACACGCANTAATTTCGTCCCCGAAATTCGATACTAACCTTGAGAATTAAAAAGATACGGATATCCTGTACGCATATCTGTTTCCAGTTCCCACGTGGCTCCTTCAACATCATGATGTTGCCATAACACTTTTACAAGTGGTATGACTTTGTTACGTAATACCTTCTCCTTGGTGTCGAGAATCTGCACAGGTTGCTCTTCGTATGTTCAATTTTCTTGAATTCGGATATCCTTCCAATCGACGACGTGACACGTATCTGGTTCACATTTCCTTAACATGGATACATGAAACACATCATGTATTCCTAATAACTGAGATGACAAGGCAAGCTGATAAGCTACATTCCCANTTGGTGTCGAGAATCTGCACAGGTTGCTCTTCGTATGTTCAATTTTCTTGAATTCGGATATCCTTCCAATCGACGACGTGACACGTATCTGGTTCACATTTCCTTAACATGGATACATGAAACACATCATGTATTCCTAATAACTGAGATGACAAGGCAAGCCGATAAGCTACATTCCTAACGCGTTGTGTTACCTTGAAGGGTCCAATGTATCTGGGAGCTAACTTTTCTTTTTTTCCCAAATCTAGATATTCCTTTCCTAGGGGACACCTTCAAAAATCCATAATCACCCACTTGAAATTTTAAGGGCCTTTTCCTTTGATCTGCATAGCTCTTTTGTCGGCTTTGAGCCGTGCATAGCCGATCCCGAACTACTTGGATCTTCTCAGTGGTCTCTTAGACAATTTCTGGACCAAATAAAATGCTTTCACCAGCTTCGGCCCAACATAGAGGTGATCTA